AAAATTTATGTTTTAATAACCGGGTAGGCTTTTTAAAAAATTTTAAAAAAATTTTAAAAAATTTTTATATATGAAATTTAAAAAAAAAAAAAGCCGGCCGGCCGGGTCTGTTTAAAAGTTTCGTGTTATGAAAACCAAGATATTAAATTTGTGTGGCCTAAACTACAACGAAAAAAATATTTAATCTATAATACAAAAGAGAAAATATATATATTGTTCGTGTGTTTAGAGTCAAGGGTAAGGAAAAAGGGGTTTGATATATAAAAAAAACCATTTTATGTAGAAAGGGACAATAAAATATGTACAAAGAAAAAGTGAATATAACGAAAGAGACAGTCGAGACCGAAATAATAAAACAAGTACATGAGTACTTTCAATTCATTTGCTTTTATGAAACATAGGTTTCATAAATGGTGAACCGAAATGAATAGATCAAAATTGGTTTAATTTCGGTCAAAGTGGAAGGAGAGTTCTATCTATCTATCATTGTCTCATGACTAACTTTTTCACATAACTTCTCATATTTAAGTGCAAATAAACAAAGAAACTTTGTATATTTACGCGTGTCACATTACTCTGAGACAAAGTTGAAAAGAACAACGATACACAACGATACGTCACTTCAACCATTTGCCATCGCCTCAAAATTGCTTCGCTACTCATTACAAGGAATTTGTATTCATTCACAGTTGTTGAATAGCTTTATCGCATTGAAGGGCAAGAGTCTTCATATTATCTACTGCGTGACATAGATCGTCATAATCCATATGGCACTCCGGTGTATATTTCTTTAACTCTAATTTTATTGATAAAACATATGATGAGTATATATAATATATATATATATATAATTCGTATAAAATCAAAAGTTAAATACCTTGAAGTAGAAGGCAATATCTCGTAACACGTTGTATTGGCATTATCATATAATCAGAAAGGTTGAGGCGACTCGTTTCTGGTTTTTTTAATGACTATAACCAAATAAGCATATATATATATATATATGTATAGTTAGTATATATATTTTTTTAATACTGAGAGAGAAATTCAGAAATACGACATCATACCTGCATAAACTTTCGGCATAAAACGTTTTCATTTGCACGTTTAATTGCCATCCTACTTTGTTCATGATTCTCTGCGTATAATAATAATGTTTCAAAATAAGGTCTGTATTTTAAAAATACTTCTCCAACCATTGATTCAGATTCTTGCCATGGATCCATGCCACTTTCGAGATCTTCTACAATTATAGTAGATAACACTATAAGGTCACTTATATGAGCAAAGATTGTTTCAATGTCATCAGGATTAACTAGCGGATTAGGTTGTTGAGCCGCATCGATAAATGGATCCATGAATATCTATAATTAACAATATATAATATAATAAGATAGTTAATAAGATAATTAATAAGATAATTAATAATATAATTAATAATATAATTCTAAGATAGAATAAATGCGTATATAAAACGTACCCTTTTTAGATCTTTTAAATGACTTAAATAACTTTGTTCTGTAGAATAAATCTCACAAGAAATGAATTTTCTCATTTGATTTGACTTAGTAGTAACATCAATTTCTTTTTCAACATCAACTTGAAGG